AGCCCGATATGTTTGACTTCCCCTTTGTTTACTCGGTCCATTGCAATTATGAACAAACCCATAGTGATTTATTGTTCTAATTAAGAACATAATTGTGAAAATGAATCGAAAGAGCTTCGAAATATACAGTTCACTTAATGAGAGATAGGAGTTTTAACTTTTTCTCCTCTAGAAATGTTTTGGAACATTTGGCCATGATTTATTTTTGTTAGAATACGAAACTGCATCCGTTTTTAGAATATGTGAATGTAAATTATTATTTTGATTTTTTAAAAATGAATTACAAACTTTTGCAAGTGTATCTTTCATTAATTAAACCTATGTTAAATCTACAACAGTGATTTTTGAATTGTTTGACCATAATGGAAATCATCACTTTCAGTCTACAGTTGTGCTATTGTGCTATCTGCGATCACTGAAGAAATGTTTTGTCAACAAATTGCAGGAATTTAGATGAATTGGCACAGTTTGCATTTCGCTAACGGATGTTATCTTTTTGTAAGGAGGGTAAACTTGATTAGAATGAAAAACACTTGTAAAGAAAAATAAAAACTGACTTTTGAGGAATAAACACTATTCCAAACTTGATTCTTGTATAAAACTTTACATTTTACTTCGAAAAACGAGAAATAAGAGTATGGAAACAAGTACAATAAATATATGGTGAGTATCTTTAGTTATACAATGTATGTTCTAAATTACGCTTGATATTATTAATTACAATTTGAATAATAAAAATCTATGTTTGTGCTTAATTCAAAGGGAAATAAAATTCTGTTAAGATTAAACCCTTTTTATAAATCTTAACATGTTCATAAATAATATTGATCCTATTACTTTTGCAGCGCTAAATGGCTAAGGATATATTATTTACGTACGTATATTGTACTTAATAATTGGAATATTCAAAATACATGAAATTGTTTCAGATAACAATGAGCGTTTCCGAAATATCTGGAGGGGAAATTTGTGTTCAACAATAATATGCATCAACACAGTGACTTTAATAGGACAATAGGATATCTAAACCAATTAGAGGAGGCCAACGGAAAAGAATACAGTACGTACCGAAAGTATCTTCGATGTACGAAAACAATACAACAATACATATACCCCTCCAATTGAATTTAAACTGTTTGTTTGGAAAACTGACTTTCAGAAAGAATTCCTTGTGCTAACGTTGATAATAGGATCTTTCGGCTTCATTGGGAACATTCTGACCATTGTATTTATTTCTATTGACAAGAAGCGCCATACGGCGACATTTTCTGCCATTGGCTGCTTGGCAATTTGCGATTTACTATATCTGATGTCATTTTATTTCAGCAAATTTACGAACATTTCTATTTATCTTATGTATATTTCAAAATGGGAGAATGTACTGTTGTCGCCATCTAACATTTTCAAGTGTTGTCAATACAGTATTTACTTATGTTCAGTAGGCCATGTTATTTTTCTCTCATTGATAAGGTATTTATTAACAGTTCACCCATTGCAAAGCAGGCATCGTCTTACTCCGTCTCTTATTATGGGATGTTCGTTCATGATTTGGATGTACGGCTTTATTATAGCTATCATTATTGTAATAATAGATATACATATGCCATCTGATTTTCTTACACATTTATATTTTACAACAGTTAGGAAATCGATATCTACTTTCGTCCCTTTTTGTGTGATCATTACATTGCACTGTTTTAAGATAAAAGAACTTAAGAAATCAAGTGTCGCTAGTGGTATTAAAACACGGATGAACGTTGTTATATCAATTATTTTGACCGTGTTTTTTTGCTTGCATTTGTCAGACTTAACTACTGTCGTAATTCACCTTATCAGATTTATTAATAACTCTTCTTATAAGTTTGATGCGCCTGTGATTGCTCAACACATCAGTGTTTTTCTGGAAGTCACACACTTTTCCTGTAATCCTTACATATACTTTTTTGTGTCAATTTTCTTATCATCTAAGAATAAAAATAGATAAATATATATATAAAAAAGAATCTCCTGGTTTTTTTTTCTAACTTAACAATCGACAACTTCCCTTACTTACGCAGCAATATACCATCATCACCTGCATATGGAGTTTACATATCTCAGTTGATTCGATATGCAAGGACAATAATTGTTCTACGTATGAACAATTTCTAACACGAGTTAAATTATTGAAAAACAAGACGATGAAACAAGGATATCAGCAGTCTCGTTTAAAGTCATCATTTCGTAAGTTTTATGGTCAATAATGGTCAATTAAGGTCATATATGAATGAAAGAAAAAAAAATGTACGTGAGGAGGGCTTCAGCCACAGCGGGAGGAAAGAATTTTTTTTCCAAAATTGAAGATATTAAGGATATCCGATCCTCAACCAGGAAGCTTTTAAGGGTAACTCCAAAAATTAATATTTAATTTGAAAGGCATCAAAATGAAGCTTGAAAATGAATTGTTTTCATGCAACAATTTTCATTTTATTTATTTTTATAAGATTCAAGGTTTTTGGAAGTCTTATAAAAGGTCTTATAAAAATTGACATTTGTACCCTATAAAAGGAAAAAAATTTAATACAATTTTAGAGGAATAAGATTTTCTTGAATCCAGCCTTAGATACCAACGCTTATTAGCATGATATGAATTAAGAAGTGATTTACTGTGTCTTGCAATGATAGCAAAAGCCTTTTACACTATGTATTATAGAATATACGACGGAAATAGAAGACAAAAAATACCAAATACGTATAAAAATCATGACAATTTCTCTGAATGCCTGGATACATATCGTTCTTTAACCTTAAATATATTGATATATTGATATATTGATCAATTTGTAATTAGAAAATGCATTGCTGATATTCCAATTCGCTTTTTTCTGCAAAAATATTGGAGATCTGACTATTTTCCCTATATAATATGATTAACTTTAATCTTAATCTTTAAATAAATACTTTGGATAAATTTACATAACTTTGTGGATTCAGAGATACTTTTATGAGTATTTTTGATTTCTTAAATGCTAATTTTATAAACCTGAGCAGGGTTCTCCACAAGGGGTTTTACCATGGCGGCCCGCCATGGTTAAATTTTTGTGCGCCATGGTTAAACGAGCTGCACCATGGTTAAAATCGGCAGCCGCCATGCTTAAATTTTATTGCATTTCAGTCCTGACACCTACTTTTTTAATGACTTGAGTAGTTAATTGTGTTTATACTACGCCTGCCCTGCACCTCGCATGCCTCGAAGGAAAGCCGACTGTACTAAACAAACTCGTTAATCAGCGAGCCGACTATGCTGTGTAATATTTTGAGAGTTTATTATCCTGTACACATGTAAATAATTTTGGGGAACGTCAAAATTTTCACTACAAGATTAGATATACAACGGCTTGAGCGTTCATTTAAAAGATGACAATTACAAGCATGATAATCGGCATGCATGCTGTGTCAGAAAAAAAATACTCTGTAAAAATTTCATATTCCTCTGTAGTTAATCAATTTCCCATGCTCCGTTTTTAAGCTTTAACTTTATTATCTTTTTGGTAAAATGTGCATAGCGCCGTCTTAACAATCTTAGTTTTAATCGCCGGTGTAGTCGTAGTTTTAGAGTTACTTCCCGTTGTTATGAAACGTCGCGTGGCGCTATTTTTAGCACTGGGCACGTGGAGAAGTAAACAAAAACTTGGTGGAAAATGCAATATCTAGAAAAATAAAACATTTAGAAAAAAAGGGACACTGCATGGTCCAAATGTTCCTTAGTGTTTTAACTTAAAAAAATACTACCCATTCATCAGTTTTAGTTGTAGTGGAACAAAACATTTCATACAACAGGCTACAATTCTTATAATTATTAGTTTCTGAAAAAATATTGCCATGGTTACTGATTTACTGATTTCTTTAAATTCCTTCAGAAGGTTACTACAGTTTTAGGAAAACTTTAGTACATTTGTGAAGTAAGATACAGGATAAATCCTTTTCAATTAATTTTTTTTACTTTAAAAAGTGATAGTTATTCCATTGTTTTGTGTTGCAGTGGTTAATTTTAAAAATTGTAAAACCAATCATTGGTTAACGAAGAGTAGGAAGTCTAACAGTGCAACACACATTTTGGTCACATTTCGCTTTCGCGCAGCTTCCTCCATGGTTAAATTTTCAAATGTGGAGAACCCTGCTGAGGATCGGACTACTTTAATTAATTTTTTTAATAAAACTCTCAATAAACAGTAAAAAAAAAAAATTATATTAAAAACACATTTTCTGATTTGTTGAAAACAAAAAATATCTACCATTAACAAAAAATCCTGATTTTGCACATATCTGACACTACATCAGTGTTTTGCACGTGGTGCATGCGATAACAGGCCAAAAACTTATTAAATAGAAAAAATTCTTTTTACTTTTGCTCGATGAAAATTATTAAGGAGAGAGCATTTTTATGAGGCGGGAGGCTATTCCAAACAAACAATTATTTTATTTTGGCCATACGAAAAATTATATAGTAAAAGAAATATGTATCATCTTTAAAAATTAATACTTTTGTTAAAATCTGCAATACTTTGAAGCTGAAAGTCGATAGCTATCTTAGAATCGTCCAATGCCAGATGAAAAGGTATCAAACAGTAAAATGTCCCGTGAATAAAGTGATTTCAATATCAATCAGATAAAATGTGTTTATTCTCGAGAACCTGTTAATCGAGTTGCTTACCTAACCCTAGTTTGGATACTTGTAAAACAAAAATACGAGCCACATATTGTCCTTCATTGTCCTTTGGATATGTAGAAGTTTAAGTCAAAATACATATTTACAATGTACAACATTTTTTTAAGTGAATTAATCCTGTTATGTGCACTATAAGATTAGGAAGATAAACTACTTTCTCATCACTTAACCTAGGGTACTAGTATCTTTTCAAAAAAATTTCACAATATCCCCTCTCAGCATAGAATGACGCTTGAAATGGTTTGCTTTTATTTTAATAAACAAAGACCCTGTTAAACGGAATATTGAAGACAAATTGACAATAATACATTGACATGAACATCATTTAACAGCATCTGACAAACTGTGTCGAACGCGCACTTGTTGAGTCTGAACTAGCACTTTTGGAAACCGAACAGTCTGTGGTACCTTTGCTTTGATTGGTCTTTTCTTACTTAGTTCCTCCTCAACCTTTTCTGCAACCTCCTTCCGCTTGATCGCAATTAGAGCTTTCTTGAGGTCGTCCACGCTAGCCCGGGTGTGCATGCGTCGCCATCTATGAAGCGCCTGTTTTGCGTGAACTTCAACAGTGTCTCTAAGAAATACAGTGTTGATTTCATCAATATCCTGGCGGAGATTTTCCTCTCCTCGTGGGGGATGAAAGGGTAAGGCTCGGTAAAGGGGGATCCAATCTTTGTCTATGTTGATTGAGGTTACTCGAGTCGCCCTCTCCAATTTGTCTGAAAGAATGGAGTTTTAATAAAAATGAATAAATTTATCTTATTACTCAATGACTTTACGTAATTCCTCAGTGATTCATTATTTGAGCCATAGAATTAAGAAGTGTTTCTTTAATTTTAAATAATGGTTAATGATTTGCACTGGAAAACGAAATTAAAACATCAAGAAAATTTATGGTTTCATTTTTTTGAATTGAATATACTTGTTAATACATGTACAAACATTAAATTTAACAAAGAATATAGAAACGAAGAGAAATGAAGTGCTATTCCTAGTCTAGTAGAAAAAGTAATCATTTGCAATTGAAGTATTAAATTGTATTTAAACATCACTCATGCAAATTCATGCAAACATATTCGTTAAACAATTACTTAGATAGGTTAAATCGTGATGCAGAAACCTCAGAGGTATTGAATTAAAATGTTAAAAAATAAAATAGAAGGAAACTGCTAGATTGTTAGGTTCACAACTGTATCTACACGGATCTAGTAAGAAAAGGGAAATAAATGCGATAGAATTCTGCAAAAAATTGTTAATAGGAAATTACCCTCATCTGCGAATGGTAAGTCAGGAAATGCTGTAAATAGATGTTATCTGTCTTATGCACGTCAATAAGTATATTAAAGTAATAACAAGCATGTATATGTAATTGATAAAAAAACAAAACAACATTTGTACAGATTTCCCTTACATGTTATTCTCTTTAAGAAAACAGAGCACAAATTCATACCATAAATACAAAAATTTTGCATAACTGCAGTGCTTTTTTTATTTTTAGATTTCACTCAACGATATAATTTTCTACTTATTAAATAGATATAAATGAGGAAGAGCAGTTTGAAGTTTTTAACGTTTTGACGATTCTTCATAAATTTCTTCATACTTTACATTTATTTCGGATTTTCAATCACTTACCTATAACGGTTCCTTTCTTTTTTCTTGCGCCGCTGACGGCTGCTCCCTTATTTGTGAGAGGCATATTATAAAACAGTTTCTTCAAAACCTCTGGGCTTGTTTTAAATCTATGAATTTCTCTCAGCTTAAGAATATTCCTCTCAAGTCTTTCACATTCCACTTCCGTTCTCCTCAAATCTCGTTTAGCCTCTCGTAGCTCCTCTTTAATCTCGCGTAATTGGTCTTCCCGTTTGTTTTTCAATTCACGTCGAAATTTCATGAATTCCAGTTTACGTTTCACATCATCTGCTTTTCTTTCTAGAATTGGTTTTTTCAATTTCATTTGTTCAATTTCAGATATCAGTTTTTCTACCTTTTCTCGCTCTTTCTGTTGTGTCTCGGAAACTTTCCTTGCTTCGTCTCTTTGGATCTCCTTGACTTCCATTTCCATTGCTAAGTCATGGATGTCTTCCTTCAACTGTTCCTCCTGTCTTCTAAGGCTTTTTTCTTTAGCTGCAACTCTCTTTAATTCGCCTACACATTCCTGAATATCCCTCTTGCATACTTTAAATCGGTGGTCCAAATGCGACACTCGTATTTGTAAATCTCGTAGCAATTTTCCGTCAATTTCCTTTTTCTTTTCCAAGTCTGTAATATCAAACTGAATAAAAGTGGCATATCCATCGTCTGCTTGGATCCATTTTCGAACTCCTATACACGCGTTACGTATATTTTCACACGCTCCCGAAAACATCACAAGAAACGGCACGTGACCACATTGCACGCGCTCGGCTATTCTTCTTGGGACCGATCCCAATTCTGTTATTCGTATGCCATCATTTTCAAACTTATCCATCATCACGGGGATGTCATCAAGATTGATTTTAATGGCCTCAGCGAGCTCGCGTCGTTGTTTTTCGTAGTTTGTAGCAGTTTCCAAATAAGAATCTCCACTGACTCCACAGAAACTTAGACAATATTTCCTCATGTACCCTAACACAATTAAAATTCCATCAATAATACTCTTAAATTTTTGACGAATATACGTATCCACTTTGTTGATAACCTCTAAAGTTGTTTGAACAGCTTCCTTGTCTAAATTAACTACCATCGTTGGATCGCCGATTGAACGGTCATACAAATCGAACACGTCCTTCAGTTGCTGCTTTGAAACAAGAATCCCCGTTTTGGCATGCGTCATAACAATCTCCAAAGCCGGAAGCCAGATTTTTAATTCCTCATCCGGGGATCTATCCATCCCATAATACTCCAGTTCTATGTAGGAAAGATGGTTTTCGATCTTCTTTAAGGCCTCTTCCACCGCTTCGTAAAAACTTTGGAGATTCTGTGGACGTTCCAGAGTCAGGTTTTCTATCGTTTGTCGCTTCCGATGGAAAGCTAGACCTGTCTGTAGTGGCATGACGTAGCTTAACTTCTTGACTCAAGGAATTTACATAATGATCCCAATCTCGTCAACGCTTAACCTATGAACATTTTTAAGTAAATTTTGAAACGTCAGGAAAATTGCTGCAAAAGTCTTCTTAAAAGTGTGTAACTTTAAAGACAACTTTTCAAAATTTCCAGATTTTCACAATGAAGGCCCAAATTCAAACACCCATGCAGTTGGAGATAAGGAGGGCAGTCAAATTTTCTTTCTAAAATAACAAAATCTTTTCATTTTTATGACAATCTTCACACATTCAATATGATAAAGACATTTGGTGATTTGCCACATTAAAAACGTATTTCTTATTCTTCATATTTGGTAACACCCTCGTAATTCAGGGATGATATTCAGATTTAAAATTCTTATAAGCTGATTACACTTGTAGTATAAATGATGCCCGATGTTACATGTACTGTATAATGAGATTTGTCCGTAAGAAAAATATACGGCCAAGGTGCATGTTATTAAACTTTTTCTTCTTGCGATAAATAATAGTTTAGATAGCATACAAAGAAAGACTATTTGAATATCTAATGCTTACATTAATGTACACAACCGAATCTGATAATGAAATATGCGATGATACATTTAACGATTGTATATGTATTGAAAGGAATTGTATTTTAGAAACAGCATGTATTTGTAAATTTATATACAACGTAAAATTAGTTTTATACATTTACAGAGATAAATGCATAATTTTATTAAAAAAAAAGTATTTACAACGCAAAATTACTTCAGACTGTACAAAGAGAAATTAAGTTTGAAATAATGTTGTAAAATTCCGACATCCCTTCTGAATCCCGTCTCAATCCCTTCAGTTGATTACATGTAATTATGTCTGAGTATTTGGAACCAATACATTTTCTGCCGATAAAAGATTCTTCCTCCCCGTCCCCTTTTTTTTATACTCACAGAAAATTGCACACTGATTATTGATAACAATATGCATTTCCAGTTTCCTTTCGTAAATTCCCTGTGTCCAAATCGACTTTAAATAACAATATATAGACAATGTTAGACGCCATTACATGCTGTTACTAAGAGTGGTTCACAGGAAACCTTGTCCCCACTTCCCAATGTATAATTATTGTTCCGCTTAATGGCTCTATTTCAACATTGTCTTATGCGTGACCCCGCCAAGATTACCACTTTCAATTAATCGCTTTACATAAATACACAGTCATTATTTTTAAAGGGTCGATATTAATCTACTAATGCTAGTTTTTCCATGACTTACCTTTCAGACTGCTTTAGAGTTTAACATTGATTATTTTTTTTTTATTTTTACCATACAACATAACGTTTTAGTTTTAAAATATGTATGCTTTGATGACAAAAAACAAAAACAGTTTTTTTTTTCTTGACATCGTGCTTCTTACTATACTTAATATTATCAAATACGATATAAACCATTACAGTGTGAATAAATTTCTTCTTTGTTTTTTTTGATTTCCAAAGAAATTTAAAATTTCTATTTTTCAAATCAATATCACCGATAAGGTTGAAATTAATACACAAACAAATTAAAACTTCAAATACAACTAAAATTCTCTCTAAACTTTTAAGAAATATTAAATAAAGGCGAATCAAAGCTAAATCAATTTTTATCGTTTCTTTAAATCGTGTGTGTGCTAAGCAGAAGGATTTAAACTCGAATGAAATAGGAATTCTCTTTGATATATAAGTTTAGAAATTTTGTAATTTAAAGAGACGTCTGTGTTTTTTTAATATCTGACAGGACATAAAAACCCTCATTGTTATAGTGTATTGATTTAAAACTTTTCCGATTCAAGGATCGATCTTAAAATGTCTGTTCTTTTTAATTCAACACACGAGTCTCTTTCGTTATATACTTGATACAAGCCAAATGAACATTAGCTTATAATGTACAAATGTAAATATCTTTTAGATTAAAGATAAGTTTACGATAATACTCTCTTATTTGCTTTCTTTTACTTGGTAGGATATCACCCCACCCCCCACCCCCCGACTAGTATTAGTGATACGAGAAGAAATTGGAAATATGCACGCACATATGTATGTTAAACATTTTCCCATATTTTATAGGCATGTACAGTTGTACGAGCTTTCATTTTTTAGTAGAAATTGAAATACGTTCTTGTACGTCGTAGTAGGTCAACAATTTAAGTTGCCAAAGGCATTTTTAATATATGAATTTTATACATATGTTTATGTAACTAAAATTTTCCCCTACCTTTCAACGTATCATTTTGTGTCGTTTCCGTGGCTTCCAAACCATTCTTATTTACTTGGTTGCATGTACCACTCAGAATGAATTACAATCTGCTGTTGGATTAAATTATTTTGTATACACTAACCATTAGTGTTAAATTACTGATTCAATGTATATCCTATGTCAGTTTAAAGAAACCTAGATTTAAATGCTTCTAACAAGGTATATATTGTCCATTTAACGACGAAGCATTTTGCAAGATAGATACATGTGTATATTGTAACAGGGAAATCTCAATAAGTTTATATTTATTTGTTTTTAATATATTTACACTTTCTACTTGATGTATTATTATTTATTTCTCTTTTAACACTTTTTAAATTATATTTTATATCCATTTACATGTACTTATTTATTCATTTACATATTTCTATTTCATTTATTAACTTAAAAATGTATTAAAAAAAAAAAAAAAAAAACTTGCGAGAAAATTGCTAGGGTCTTGCTTGATTGTGAACCCATTTTAATTTTTTAATTTACAATTTTACAAATATCATTTCATAGGTAAATTAAACTGAGATATATACTACAGTGTTGCAAAAAAAATTCTAAGTGTAGAAACAGTTAAAAAAAAAAAGGGATCCGTTTTGCTCAAGAGGAAAATTGTCACCTATTTCATAATCTACATAATTGATTGCATGTACACTGTACCCCTCAGAATGAATTACAATCTAGATTCTCTAAGCTATTGATATTCAAAATGTCCATGATAGAAAATAGAATTTAGTTTTCCGTAAATTACACATTGATTTAGTAAAATATACATTATAAATGAATACAACTAAAATAGGTTGTCTAGACATACAATGTAAGTAAGGAGAATATAAAAGTACTTTGATGATCATAATGGAAAGATTAATTCAAAAGACAATTAATTGCCATTATAAGAATCATTAACACACTTCAATAAAGGAAACATATCTCGTAAATAAGACACAGATTTCGTCAAATTTCTTAACAGTTCTACTTGACAGATTCATTTCACTATGTTTATCAGGGTAGTGGTATTGATGTCATTGTATTCGAGGGCTAATTTTTCCCAGTTAAAAGAAAACAAATTTATTTTTATAAGAACGGGACCACAAGAACCGGACAGAGACATATATCGCGAATTTGTCTTGTCCAGGAAAAGAAACATCAAAATTGTATGCGGATTTGAATGTCTTGTCCAAAGTCACTGCATCGGATATGAGACTTGTGGAGGAAATGTATGCAGACTCTTGAATGGAATATTCCATTATAATGTCTCGACGCAGTTCCCAGGAAATCAATGTCAACAATATAGAAAGGTTAGATTTAAATTATGTAATCGTTTGTTTCGACTATAAAAGAAATTCGTCTTAATGAAATCCTGTATGTCTTTACTTTTTATATACATGTACTTTTTAATGACTAGTAACCACTTCCGCTGTTAGTTGTAGAATTTTTAGATTATATACTTTATCCATGCATAGAATACATGTAAATATCAAAAACATTCTTTGATTGTTACCGTGGAGAGAGATTTAAATCGAGGTCATTGGGACTATGAAGCAGTCGTAACAGGGGTTCAATGTGTTAGTTAATTACACTGATATGAAAATGAAATATTTCAATGTAAAACAAAAGAGCTGCAGAGTTCGAAAACAAGGTACATATGCAAATTGTTGAAAAACATATATAGGACCTCCTAATTTTCATGTGCACATTTACGCAATTAATAAATACAATGTAACATAATTTATTTAAAACTATATTTATTCTTAATTTGTATTCTGGCTGAAATGTAACGGGAAAAATTAATACGTTAAAAAATTATATTAATAGCATGAAAGGCATAAAGATATATTTTCATGTTTCTCCTTAGAGGATTATTTATAGAAATCACAAATAATCATTTTTTATTTAAAAAAAAAAAACAAAAGAAAATGCATATACATAGGCTGTTTTTTTCTTTTTTATTATTATTGAAAGGATGACTGCACTAAAGGATATCCGAAAGAACGAGGGCGCTTTTGATTGGCATTCGGCAGGAATCTGGGCGTAATTGAAAAGTGAAAATTTTATCGACATGTCACATGAAATTTTAACATTTTTTTTATTTAATGAATTCTGTGCAACAGGAAGGGAAAATATTTTCCCGAAATTAAGCTTTGATTTGCTAAAAAATAACTTGAAAAATTGGCCAGATCACACATTTGGTACAAAATAGTACATTTTTAAACACGTTTTCCTAAAATTTTTCTATCTCTGGGTCTTCTCGCCATGTTTTTGAAAAATTATTTGTGTGTAATTTAATTCAAAGAATTAAATACACATTTGTAAAAAATGGAGAGAAGACCCAGAGACCACGAAAAATGAACTTTTCCCTAAAAAATCCAAATGTGTGAATGTTGGTGCTTCTTTGTCCTTTTAAAATGCGCTATATATATGTAGCGGTGATAGTTTGGTAAGTTGGGCTATCTGTTCAGTGCGCTCGAAAAAAGAAGTTTTTGGTTCGAGCCTGGCATGGGGCGTTAATTTTTTTTTTTCATGCAAACAACCATTTATTTTGTCAGTTTCGTTTTATGTACTGATTTATTAAAATTTTGAATTAAATAAATTGGTTCTCGAGCGAAATCAATTCCGATCTTCTATTCAATAGTGTACATGTACATGTATCTATGCATTAATTTTTTTATGTGTTTATTTTTGGTGGAACATTACTATGTTATAGTACCCCCTAGGAAAAAAAGACACAAATGTTACAATCTCACAAGGTCTTTCAAACTAAATAATTAAAAAAAACCTATGGACGTGTTTGTAAAATCTGACAAGCTATGTTCAGCCAACCAAATCATGGACATTTAAACCATAAATGTTTCGTACAAATGATTCCTGCAGATCACACGCCAAATGCGCCCATCTCCTTTGCGTCAAAATAAGCTTTCAAAACAGATATTTTGCTTTCAATTGCAGAAATGATCAACATCTAATTTACAACCTTACTTAATTACAATAAATAAAAGTATGTATTAACAATGTATGAATCTGTTTTCTGAGGTTGGGGTCAACACCATTTCTTCAATCTCCCTACTATAATGAGGACGCCCACTTTATTTACTGACTTTATACATAGTCAGCGCATATTTGCCTATTGTTCTCCTTTTAACAGTAGTTGTATATTTGCATAAGTAACGTTGTGTTAAAAGGAGATTAATAGACAAACATTCGCTCATGGTTAAAAAGAGAAAAAACTGTTTCCCCTCTCTCTCTCTCTCTCTCTCTCTTTCTGTTGTAACCAAGGGCTGTTACACGTTGAATATTATAATTCACCACGTGATATCTTTCCTCAGGTAATTTTGTGAATACTAAATTCCATCACGTGACTTATTGATAGCATGTGATAACTAGGACACTGTGTTCGAGCACGTTGAATAGTCAGCCATCGATTTAAAATATTCTTTACATACATGGATTGGTTTATATGTATTAAACCTTTGTAAATAATGCACTTGTGTCATACAGATTTCGAATTTTTTTAAATACATGTCATTGTTATTCATTCAGTCTAATTTTAGATCCATTCTTACGATGTTAGTTCCTCCTCTCATACATACATAATGTTTAATCAAGGGCAGGTAAGTGTAAATTCTCTGTAATCGGAAAACCGTAAGGACAAAAAACATGAAATAAATTATTGTATTACAGTCTAAAATTATTTTTTACATTTAAATTAGGTGTCAAATGGACACACTTCTGTAGTAAATGTATAAAAGTGAAATTAATTTAACATTTAAAAGCAACAGAAGCGATCGAAAAAGACCCAAAACACAGCGTTAAGTGCAGTCATCCTTTGTTACTTTTGTTAAATCCTGAAACGTTTGCAATACCTATTGAATTTGCCTTTGCTATTTTTAATTTAAGATGCATATTAATATATGGGCTGACAGCAGACATCAACCGTCTACGGTTGTTACAACGGGTAAGATCTCTAAATATTTTTAAATAACATTTATCCATGTAATCACCCAGTAGAAATACGTTATGAAAAGGAATATACTGTATATATGATAATGTCGAACGTCGTGAAAAATACCTCTCACGATTGAATCGACACCTCTTTAAGAATAAAAAAACGAATTATTTGAAAACTGAGAAACCAAATGTATCATTACATGGATAGGATATAAGGCTCTGGGTCTTAAATACATTATTTTCTATTTAAGATTGTCCTAATAATGACTATGTTTTGACAACCAAATCATTAGAAATAAAAGAAATTTCAGGCAGTGGCTCCTCGACTACTGATGTATCAACTCTTGATGACATATCAGGCAGTGGTTACTCAACTACTGCTGTATCAACTCTTGTTGACATATCAGGCAGTGGTTCATCGACTACTGATGTTTCAACTCTTGTTGACATATCAGGCAGTGGTTCGTCGACTACTGATGTATCAACTCTTGATGTCATATCAGGCAGTGGTTCGTCGACTACTGATGTATCAACTCTTGATGACATATCAGGCAGTGGTTCGTCGACTACTGATGTATCAACTCTTGATGACATATCAGGCAGTGGTTCCTTGACTACTGCTGTATCAACTCTTGATGCCATATCAGGCAGTGGTTCATCGACTACTGATGTATCAACTCTTTTTGACATATCAGGCAGTGGTTCATCGACTACTGATGTATCAACACTTGATGACATATCAGGCAGTGGTTCTTCGACTACTGATGTATCAACTCTTTTTGACATATCAGGCAGTGGTTCATCGACTACTGATGTATCAACTCTTGATGACATATCAGGCAGTGGTTCATCGACTACTGATGTATCAACTCTTTTTGACATATCAGGCAGTGGTTCCTCAACTACTGATGTATCAACTCTTGATGACATATCAGGCAGTGGTTCTTCGACTACTGATGTATCAACTCTTGTTGATATATCAGGCAGTGGTTCCTTGACTACTGATTTATCAACTCTTCTAGGAAGTACAGAGAATGACTTAATCTCAGCTGGAATATCAACTATTGATGACAAATCAGGCAGTGGTTCCTCGATTTATGATGACACAATAGGCATTGGTTCCTTAACTATAGAAGAATTTAAACCATATGGACAAGACGGCTATGACTACATAAATTATTATGACAACTGAACTAGCATTTATTGGTGAAGTATCAGGCTGTTTGTTGGAGATCAAACACTTGTCTTCTAGAGAATAAATGATTTTTATTGATTTTCCTTTATAAATTAAATGTTGGATGAATTTTTATTCATTTGATGAAACAAGTTTTACTGAGGCATTAGTACAATGAAACCATAGAAAGTTTGATTTTTTTTCTTCATGTCTGCTTTTTACAGGATGGAATTGCACCTTTCAGATACACTGTAATTCATAATCACTGAGAGATCTGGTAAACCGACTGAATGGTAATGTCATTTTGGTCATCTTTCAAGTGAGTTTCAACCTGAGTAAACCAACTTTGGTTTGATCTTAAAGGGGGAGGAAATAAGCGCCTCCTTCAAATTTACCTAGTCTTAGAACCCCTGTCAGTGAAATTAAGCCTAGGATTGGATACTTAGATTTGATTGACATTTAGTTTTTAGCCATCGTGTTTATCTTGTGTACCTTGTCTGGAGATCGTATCGACCATCGAATTAACATTCAGGCTTTTGATTCCTTCCGCATATGTCAATGTGATAAAGTTTAACAATCAAAGCCCTCTTTTTTAATTCATAAGAATATGCCATATAACCAGTTTTAGAAGAGAAATTAGACGGATTATAAGATCTTGCTTTGCATTTAATATTTGAAATTATAATCCCGAAAGAGAAAACTATGATGCAGATGATTCCATTCCCGTTCCACCCATAGCCCTAGGTTTTTTTTTACAAGAAGCATGCGTTATGGAAACATCACGTAGGATCTATCTTAAAAGATATATATTTACAATTTAGAGTATTATTATATTTCTAAACAGTTTATTCTAAAAACATTGTTTCTAAGTTTAATTGCTATTTACTGAGAGTCTTATTTATGACCCACTTGCGTTCACGACGTGTAATTTGAATTACTTCCCTTTTTGTCGCCATATTACAATGACAGATTTTGGTGCTGCATGTAGTTGAGTTCTTATTAATATTAATTTTAAAAGAAAGAATTTGAGAAGGGTTCTGTTCGCTACAAAAATGCTTTATTTGATGCATTTCAATTGAGCTACACGTGGGGAAAAATGGCTTCATTTAACAATGTCGTAGGAAAACACATACAGGTAATACACTCAGGTAACATCCTGTGTATATGTGTATATAGGTAGTATAAACAAGTCAGCGTCGTTCCCTCGGGGCTTCTCAGTCGCTTCGATTAAGCATCACCTCACATCAAACGTTAACTTACCTAAGGAAAACCGACTGGTTGAAAACCTCGGCCCTTAAATCAACAAAGCACAATGTAAGATCAGTCTTTATGATCTTTAACGACGAAATCAACACGATTTATTGACGCAGCATCGAATAGATAGTTGTAAAATGTTTTGAGGACGACGGATGAAGTATAGAGAAAGAATTTTCCTACGTTACTTGACGTACTTAGCTGATTAGATTAATTAAATGAAAGAACAAATACAATCACTATTAATCAACAACACAATGAATGAAATTGATCTTCACTATTATTCTAATTTTCCTTAGTTATCTCCTTGTTCTCAACCCTGGTCTGACACTCTGTCTGAGTACTAGCTGCCAGACCTGTAGTTTTAACCCCGGGTTTCAAACACCCGTTATATGTTATTGTAATTTACTCTTTTATTAACCCGTAAAGATCTATGACACTCTAAAGGTCCGCCTGCTGAAGTTAGAGGCACCGGTAATGATACAACATAAATGCGTCCTCTTCCTATTACGGCTTCTCGTAGAGTGAACCCTGGGCCTTGAATGAACCCGCTTGTAAACTTTTCCTAAATCTGCTGACTCAGATCTAGATCTGCTGAACGTTTGAAACATTGACTAAACACAGGAGATAACATTTGATTGCAAAGACTATTTTAAAACCCAGATTCTAATAAGTAGCTTGATCGAAGGAGTTTCACTACAATTAGACCAAGGGTTATTTTTGTAACAGAATTTCATTCTTTAAGAATCACAAAAATTATGTAAAACTGAAAAAAGTGGATGACGTACAAAAATAATTATGATACGGATGTTTTTATAATCGATGACATTTGATTTACGTCAGAAGGACGTAAAACATATATAAAACGTAAAAAGAATGACGTATTTTAAACAGTTTTATTTTTTCTTTGTACATGTTGTCCTTAACTTTAGATAAATCTGAGCTTGATACATGACGTGTGCGAATTGGTAACAAACTTGAGTTAATAAAACAGAACATATATTATTAATGCGACCAACATTTTTTCTCCGATATTTAACTATAGTACGACATTGTATATTAAATTTGAATAAGCTTCATGAAATCTGGGGGTAAGGTACAGTATTCAAGCTCAGAAGTCCAATAAACAAATGAACATAAAATAGGAGCAGAGCAAACATGATCCTCCAAAACATCAGAGGTGAGATCAGGTGCCATGGAGGAGTGAGCATCCCTTGCTGACCGGTCACACCCGCCGTGTGCTCCTTGTCATGATTGGGAAAGAAAGGGAAAACCCGTCGACAATTCCGTTTGTAAATAATGGACTACCAAAAAGCATGACGCACGTCAGTCAACATTTAACTTAATGAAAAACTGTATTTGCTGAAAAAGATCATTGTATCACCATACAAAATGATGACTTCAAACTATTCTCTATTCTTTATTCATTATGTCACAGATACAGACCATGGAAGGCATTCACATCTACATATTTAAATTTAAGGAGGCTGGGGGCAAAAATTAACCCCCAGATTTAACTTATTTTTTTTAGATACGGTACCTTAAGCTGTCAACTATTATTTGGCAAAAAAAATATCAAATATTTTAGTTTTAAAAATTGATTATTTTTGTATATCTTTATATGGAGCTCTTCTTCTAAAGGAGATCGAAATAGTCTGAAAATGGCTGCAACCCCCACCCCACCCCCAGCCCCTTTAAAAATGCGATCTGTGAAAAAATAACTTTCAAATCCCATTAGATATAATAATTAAATCAGACTAGTTTTTATTAATCATCTAAACACACTTTCCAAGTATTCGTGAGGTCTTTTTCAGGAGCGTTTTACATGTACGTAAGGCTTAACACCCTGCTCAATATTACTTTTTAAAAAAGCCAATTTAATTTGAATTCAAGAGTGCCACACTATCAACTACAACAATCTTTAAGGATTCTTACAAAAGATTTAGATTGTATTAGAATAAGCACAGACACTGCATTAAGAGTCGGGGATTCTGTGATAAATGTTAAGATTGAGATTGTATTTAAATAAGCACAGACACTGCATTAAGAGTCCGGGACTCTCTGCAAAATTTTAAGTGCATCACACAAAGAAATGAAATGAAGAATTGATTTTATGTAGCCTTAGAAAAAGAGAATTAAACTTATTGAAACAACTTTTTCATACTAGTTCTTGGACGTTGATTGTGACAAAAGTGTCAGAGATAATTGATTTTATGGCAAACAGGAATCTTCATAAAACACAACGTTCACTGGAAAATCGTACAAAGGGCAGATACGAATGGACTGAGAGTGCATCTCTATTGAATTTTAAAATCAGGCCAAAGTATTTACGCTTTACAATGATTTTATATTTTATATTTTATTTTTTAGTTCTGAAAATTTCAATCTGTTTTACGCATATTTATGAAAACAAATTCAGGTATGTGGAAACAACTTCAAAAATAGAGAATTCTAGTATATATCGCGAATTTCTTTTGTCAATAAAGAAGAGTCCAAGATTGAAGTGCGGATCAGAATGCATGATAATGGACAATTGTAAAGGAATCGAAGTTTGTGGTGGTATTCTTTGCCGTCTGTGGAATAAAAGTTTCTACCAGGGCACTTCTGTCAATGATACCTTTTACCAATGTCTTCGGTATAGTAAGGTATTTGATTTTTAACTACTTCTCTGATAATATCATTTCATTTAGAGAAATAATCTATTTTTGCAAATTATGTTTTTTTTTGTCAAAGATTGGAGATGCCACAACTATTGCAACGTCTATATCAACAACGGTAGGCGATGTTGCAACTAGTAACACATCTACACCCACAACGTTAACTGATACAATACATAGTTTTTCCTCTGTATCAACATCTCTCAGCGGTACTACTGCAACAACTTTATTTGGCGATGTTACAAATAGCAGTATCAATACAACAACAACACTAGCATATTCAACTTACAGTACATCTTCAACAACAACACCGAAAGATTCAACTAACAGTATCACTACAACAACAACATCAACCGATTCAACTAACAGTAAATCTATAACAACACCAACCGATTCTACTAACATTGCCTCTATAACCACACCAACGGATTCAACTAACAGTGCCTCTACAACAACACCAACCGATTCAACTAACAGTGCCTCTACAACAACACCAACCGGTTCAACTAACAGTGCCTCTACAACAACACCAACCAATTCAACTAACAGTGCCTCTACAACAACACCAACCAATTCTAGTAACAGTAAATCTACAACACCAACCGATTCAACTAACAGTAAATCTGCAACAACACCAACCGATTCTACTTACAGTATCTCTACAACAACAACACCAACTGATTCTACTAACAGTATCTCTACAACTACAACACTAACCGATTCAACTAACAGTATCACTACAACAACACCAACCGATTCAACTAACAGTATCACTACAACAACACCAACCGATTCAACTAACAGTATCACTACAACAACACCAACCGATTCAACTAACAGTATCACTACAACAACACCAACCGATACAACTAACAGTATCACAACAACAACAACAACCGATACAACTAAAAGTATCTCTGCAACAACACCAACCGATTCTACTAACAGTATATCTACAACAACACCAACCGATTCTACTTACAGTATCTCTACAACAACAACACCAACTGATTCTACTAACAGTATCTCTACAACTACAACACTAACCGATTCAACTAACAGTGTATCTACAACAACACCAACCGATTCTACTGACAGTATATCTACAATAACAACACCAACCGAAACAACTAGCAGTTCTTCTACAACAACAACACAAAACGATTTAACTAGCAGTGTCTTTTCAAAAACACCAATCAATTTTACTAGCAGTATCGCTACAACAACAACTTCAAGCGATTCAACAAAAAGTATCTCTACAACAACACCCACCGATACAACTAGCAGTTCCTTTACACCAACAACATCAACCGATTCAACTAGAAGTGTCTCTACATCAACACAAACCGATTCAACTTACAGTATCTCAAAAACAACACAAACCGATTCAACTAGCAGTGTCTCTACAACAACACCAACCGATTCTACTAACAGTAAATCTACAATAACAACACCAACCGATACAACTAGCACTACCTCTACATCAACACAGCTAGATTCGAAAACAAGCTATGTCTTCATATCAACTACAAGTACAGGTATTACAAAGAGATTTATCATTTCTTCTGGATGAAATATTTACTTGTTAGAAAAGGTAAACTATTTTCTTGTAAGCAAATATATACCTAAATATCAATAGTATTTTTAAAGAAAAATGTTAAATTTCTATTTCCAGAAAGTCCAACTGAAACATGTGTAATGCAGCGCCAGTTTCAAGATGGAAAGATAGTAGATATCCCTTGTTTTAATGATACTTACAACTGGATTGTAAGTAGATTTTCAAAGTCAAGTGTAGGCATTGAAGTGTTAGAGATGCTACGAAATACTATTTTTCGAGTGGGAGGGGGGTTTTGGTAGTTCGTGTGGAGATGGGGTCAGAATGTATTGTTGTGTGAACCTTGTTCAAAAAGACCTGTATAGTACACCTTCCATGTGATAAGTAAACGTCAAAACGAAAGTACAGTCATGAAAATGAAGATAAAAAAATCAAAATTAAAACTAAAATTTTGTTTTGAGGCTATATGTTCATGGTGCAACGCGAGGATTAGATTTTACTTCAAACACTTTGTCACGCAGTAAGAAGCTGAACCAACACTGTGGATTGGAAGCCCGATGAGGACCGTAGAGACAATCGTACAAGATTGATGTCAGATATCAATGAGCCAGGGATAATTTTTTTTTTCTAATGAAGGTTAAAATTATTGATAAGGTAATTTTGTTGCTTGTCCTTTTGGATATTTTTTTCAATCAGATACGTCACCATATACAGTTGAAGATCATTCTTGAAAGTCAAGGCCAGAGGGTCAAATATTATGGTATTTGGTGCTGATTAGTATTATAGATATTTATTTAAGGAACTTATGGTTCTAAATTAACTCTTAGTCTGTATGAAATGTATATACAAAATATCTTTGAGTCTCTCATTCTGTTATGTTTTTGATGTAACTATTTAGGTACGTATTACATGTATCCATTTTAACACAACATGATGACAAGAAATGAGTAACATTAAAAGTAAAAGAAATTCCATTTAAGTTAAATGTAAGGAAGTTAGCTACGCATCATAAACACATAATTCTTTTACACTTGATTATGAGCTGATCTTTCAGTGTCGTAAATAAAATAAAGATTGGCATTGTCTGCGAACTTTTCTTATAGTTCTGCTAAGTACCGGAATATTCATTTCATAAAATTTCATAAGTGGTTCATATTGAAAAAATAAACCGAACAATGAATTTTTGATATTGAAGCAACAAAGAGTGCATGAATATAAAATTTCTGTCTTTATCACACTTGATATGAAATATACTGTATAGTTTAAAGATGGTGGACTGATTGATTAATTGATATTTTTAAACGCCTGATCGACAATATTTCAGCCATATATCGGCGGTAGTTTAAAACTGTAGTTTGTAAAATTTAATGTGGAAAATAACTTTATTTTTACATGTTTTATTTAGTTTAAAAATGAAATTTCTAAAAAACATAAAGTATTTTTCGCATTAGATATCAGTTGCCGTTTTCTTTACTATTGATTGAACTTAAATATTTTATTTTTAGGTTATTCAGAGGAGAATGGATGGATCAATTGATTTTTATAGAAACTGGACTGAATACGCAAATGGATTCGGATCCGCTAAGTCTGAAATCTGGTTAGGTAGGTTAATTGCTGTGTATCCTTTGAATTCTGAAATCTGGCTACTAGATAAGTCTATAGCTATGTATCATCTCAATTTTTTAATCTGGTGAAGTAATTTATAGCTATATATCCATTAAATTCTGAAATCTGTTTGAATATACTTGAAGCTGTGTATCCTTTGAATTCTGAAATCTGGTAGGGTATGTTTATAGCTATTTGTCCTTTGAATTGAGAGTCTGATACAGTGTACGGTTAGATTTTTGCTGTGTATACTTTGAAATCTGAATTTTGAATAAATTAGTTTATAGCTGTGTATCCCTTAGATTCTGAAACCTGTTTAGGCGAGTTAATTGCTGCGGATCCGTCAAATCCGGAATCTGGCTTATGAATTGCTTAATAGCTGCTGATGCATTAACTCTAAAAGATGAAGAAATTAGTTAATAACGTTGGATCCGTTAACTCTGTGGTAGATAAACTCAAAACTGATGATGTATGTTTGTTTGTTTGTTCTTTGACGTCCCTCTCAAGAATTATTTACTCATATGGAGACACCACCACCTGATTGGAGAGCTGCAAATTTTAACCTATTCTCGACACTCAGGGCCATTGAGCAATGAGGGATCTTTTTGTGCCAGTACTTACTGTGACACGGGACCTCGGTTTATACGGTTTCATCCAAAGGTCCGGTCTCGACATCCAACAATGGGATTCGACTACCGAAAAGCTGCGGTTGTATTAACCCTGAAATCTGGTTAGGTTATAAGTGCCACTGTTGATTTTACAAGTTTATTTCCCTGGGCTTCTGGCGAAAAGAGTGGGTAGGGTCAACTTATTTAAATGTTATTCAAAAGTAAATGCATGAAAATGATTTTCAGATACAGTCGCTGATATCAGTTTTTAATAGTCAGCATCGTTTTTTTCAGAATTTTTTTTTCAAAAGCATTTTCATATAGAAAGAATAAAACCTCTTTTGCTGAATTCAAATAGGTGGAAAAAGACAATATTTATCAATTTCTTTCAATATTTTTTTTATTTATTTCCTGTTTCAAAGTAAAATTAACTTACATACGTAAGATACATACGTAAGATAACAAAAAAATGGTTGTATATGACAGCAGTTTAACAATATATTTGAAGAAAAATAGCACTTTAATATATATTAAACTTATTACAATGTATGTAAAAATTTTATACCTGTTACAGTTCAATTTTTCAAGACACGGATTTCTCTCCCTCGGGCATTTTTATACATAAATTTATTGACTAAGTTCGAAGGCAACACATACAATATGTCGGATCCAAGGACCAAACAGTCGAGTTGGAGGGTCGACAAAACGCATTTCGCCATTAGTCAATAAATGTTTTATTATAGGCCAATATTCTTATCATAATTATACATGTACATGTTATCTTGTGCTGACTTCCATGATGAAACTTGCCTTGATTAGCACTGAGGTTACATTCCGGAGCCTGTTGTTGATCCAACCTAACTTGGATCCGACATTTTTGTTTCAAAATGTTTATTTTCTGTGTGATTCTTTAGTATCCTTCGCCATAAATATTCATATTTTTTAAACATTATCATATGGTGAAATTTTTACAAGGAGACGCCATGCAACAAACGTAGGAACTTAAGAATAATCATTTTAAAATTGTGTTTTATGTAACGGTTTCCATTGTGATAATTTTTGTAAGACCATTAACATTTTTTTCAATTCATACAATAGTTTTCCCCTTATGTAACTTGGTACCATATGGGTGAATTTATATATCAGTTAATCTAAAACAAATGTTTTCAGATACGTAGGCTTCTCTAATACACAGGTTTTGAGATTAAACTGTAAACATTATATAAACATGCATGTAAATTGGTAGATTTACATGTATCTAAAATGATAAATATGAAACACGTCCAGAGATCAGATTTGGTAAAGTTAGACATAAAACTTGTTGCAATCACATACTTTTTGTGCTTGCTTGAAAGTGTTTAAATGCGTATTTTGATTCAGCCGTGTTAATCTGTTCTAATTTATTTAGAAGAATTACATTATGTGAAATGCAAATTATGCCTTACAATATTATAGGTAACCAGTACATACATGAGCTAACTAGCTCTGGATACTCCATCTTGAGAGTAGATTTGATTGATCGGAACTTGGAATGGAGATATGTGGAATACATTTTTTCCGTAGAGGATAGTGCAACTAAGTATAGACTTAACATAATATGCAGGGAAGGGTGTGATATTGGTAATTATTTTTTTAACCTAAATTCTATTCTTTCTTGAGTTTTAAGAAAAAAACCTATTCAAAATGGTCAAATCTATTGAAAATACCTAGACATATACATGAATGTAGCATTTTACAAGTACCCTGTTAAGCTAAACAATTGCATAATGTCAAAAATGTGTTTCAGTTTCGACTGACTGGCAAAAAATATAAATGTATGAAACACTGTTTTTCAGATTATCAAAGTAATTTTGAAATGTTTTATAGACAGCATGTGGACAGGTCTCTTTTCTACTTACGACGAAGATAATGATAACTGGGCTCCAAGAGATTGTGCAGGGGACTTCAGTGGCGGATGGTGGTACTCAGCGGAAGCATACTGTACGGAGGGAAATCTGAATGGAATGTACAATACTGATGGCAGCAAAAAGAATGAAAAGCAGGGGATCTTCTTTTTTCATTGGCATGGATATGAACCGCTAACATTTGCCCGAATGATGGTTCGACAGCCCTGAATGTTTCAGCAGATAGTTCTTACAATTCAAGTGATCCTTGTCATAAATTGTAGAATGAAAATCCAGATTAGAACAATTTAATCTATATACTAATTTACATTTTAATAATTACAGATTAAGTATTGTTATCAAAAGTAATTCAGAAAATCAAACATTTCATTTTTATAGATACATTTTATATGGATTTAAAGAAAGACTTGAATTATCAAGGCTTCAGGGCAATCCGATGAATTTTTGATATGCAGTTTAGATAATTTAATATCTATTTTCTTAAACCAAGGAATAATACTGATAAGACCTGTGTGGGATTGTATATAATACCCTTTTAACCGAGATTTCCTTGTAAATGAGTTCTTTCAAAAACCAAACTTACTGTATCAATATTAATTCTTTTCACAGATCATTAACATAAAGATAACCATGGGTCCTTGGTCAGAATCATATTTCAAAAAGCAAATTACACAAATTATATGCTGAATCTGAAGATTAAGAATGATTTCTAAATTTAACTATGCAGAGCATAATGAATATGTACTACGCAATTTCAAATTTGAATCCACCTTGCTTGTCTAATTAAGGTAGGTCGCGGGTTTGATTTTGTCATCTTTTGGTTCACAATTTCGACGATTCGAGCGGTTGTTTTGTGCACATTCGATTTTGTCGTCAGTTGGCTTAAAAACGTCATTTTCCCATATATTTCAATAGTAAGAGCGTAAAAAAGGACTAAAAACTATACCGCGTTTACAGCACAATAGCATTGAAACTACGTAGGGAAATTTATTAAAAATTGCAGATAATATGCTGTAAATTCTAAGGAACATTGTATTAAATTAAATTTTCAGGATATATTTTCTCGTAAGAATTTTCATGCAGTAAACCCGCGTCCCTCCTTAAATTCATCTTCTGTTGTATTGTGGTGTTCTGTTACTAGGTACAGTGTATAGCTAATCCTTAAATTTGCTGTTCTTGCATACATGCTTGTTTGTTCACATTATATGTTTTGTGGCGGTCCCTGAAATGTTTGCTTTGATTTGCAGCCTTGGTTTGGCTCTTGTTATGAGTAAGTGAGGTGGTAGTGACGACACCAACCCCCCAACCACTTTGTACAGGAGAAACAGTCTCAGGTTTGTTCGTCTTTCCTCAAGGATGTCAAAGTTCCTTCTGATAGATGCTATTGTTCCCGGGTTCCTGTTCTTGTAGTCCTTTTTGTGTCTCGTGCGGAGCAGAGCGGAATTAAGGGATCAATTAACCCGGCATCTGCCCGTCCGTCCGTCTATCTGTCCGTCTGTCACACCTTGTATCTTAAGAACTGTAAGAGATATGGACTTGATATTTTGCACATTTATCGCTTGGTACTATGGCATTTATAAATTGCCATAGTTACCGATCTGGTGACCTTTGACCTTGACCTTTGACCTACTTTGCTAAATAGTTAAAAGTGCCAATATATAGAATATTTTTTTTACATTTAAGAGGTAATTTTATGCTATTTAGCATGTGCACGGATTGTCATTATGAAAAATTATTTCAAACTGTCTTGTACATTTATTTACATATACGTTTGTTTGTATTTGTGTAATTTGTGTGAAAGTACAAAAAGAATTATGAAAAATACCAGCGTTACAATTCACTTGATCTTGACCTTTGAACTACTTTACAAAGAATACCCCATACAATTTTATTTAACTTAAGACTTTTAAATTTTGAGTGGCGAGTGTTGATATTTAATATTTATATATATTTATGAGCTAATTAAACTGTTCTTTGATCATGAAACTGTATGATATTCAGTAACCACATAAACTGATATTTAAATAATATAAAAATACATCGGGATCGGGATCCCACAGCAGACCATGTAGAGTGACAATTTGTGTAAATACTTTGAAACACGTATTAACACATGTACATTTAATGATTTATTTTCAAGATTTCAACTTAATAACAAGTATTTATTTGAAGGTTTGGAATCATATTTTTTATTGACAGACTCTATCGCAATATTATACTATGTATGGATGTTTTTGTGCATTTATGGACTCATGCTAATTATTATATGTACTTTTATCAAATACTTTTATAAGGTAGAGATACATGTAACACATTGTTTAAATAACGCATTTTCTGCACGTTTTATACTTTTACAAACATGACTCTTTATATCAAGGCACAGAAATTCCATCAAAACTTTTACATTAATTTTCAATGAGGTCACCATTTCTGAAGAACCAAATTCAAAGATTTGCCATTAAGAATCAAGTACAAACTGGTAATAAACAGTTAAAAACAAAAGTTATTTATGATAGCAACAATTTGTTTTCTTCCTATCTAAGTTTTTAAAAAGTAGCATAATGGATATAATATACTTTTTTTAGTTTCATTCAAACTATTTTTTTATCGTGTCACAAATACTAAACGTGGGAGGTAATTACATCCACACGTCGTTTAGACAAAACAATTGCGGTCTTCTTAAATCCCATTTGATATAATTACATCAGACAAGTTTTTATTAACCATCTTAATGCACTTTCTAATTATTTGTGGGGTCTCTTTTAGGAGCGTTTTACTTGTAGGTATGGCCTAACACTCAGTTCAATATTACTTTTAAAAGAATGCCAATTTAATTTCAAATCAAGAATTCCATGCTATCATCTCAATAGCTTTCGTCAAGGATTCTTACAAAAGATTGATATTGTATTTGAATAAGCACAGACACCGCATTAAGAGTCTGGGAGTCTCTGATAAATTTTAAGTGCATCAGACAAAGACGTAAAGAAATGATTTTATTAGCCTTAGAAAAAGGGAAATAAACTTATTGAAACTACATTTTCGTAGCAGTTCTTGGACGTTGATGGAAACAAAAGTGTCAGAGATAATTGATTTCCTGTTAAAATGTTTTTTACTTAAAATCGACATTAAAAAGAATAATACGCAAGGCAGATACGTATGGACAAAGAGTACGTCTCAATTGGTCTCCAAAATCAGTCCAAATTGTGTACGCTTTACAATGATTATATATATGACAGTATTGGTTCTGAAATTTTCAATCTGTTTTACGCATATTTATGATAACAAATTCAAGTATGTAGAAACGACCTCAAAAATAGAGAATTCTAGTTTATAACGCAAATTTCCTCTGTCAAAAAAGAAGAATCCAAGATTGAAGTGCGGATCAGAATGTATGATTACGGAACATTGTAAAGGAATTGAAGTTTGTTGTGGTATTCTTTGTCGTCTGTAGAATGAAAGTTTCTACCAAGGTACCTCGGTCAACGGTTCTTTCTACCAATGTCATCGATATAAAAAGGTATTTAATATTATCTGTTTCCTTATAGATAGACCAGTATATTGCTCTTTCATAAAATGGATATTAATTTGCATTTAAAGTTGCTGATATTAATATCTTACACCTGCTTTTCTTGTAAATATTACCATTAATTGTTTTTAAACTTTTCAAACTTTAAAGTACCAAGATAATAAATATTTCTTACAAATATTACCATACTTTGCTTTCAAACATCTCAAACGTTAGAGTACAAAGATAACTAATATTTCAAGAGTCAGTATCAACAAAATACATGATTGCTTTACCTTAAATACCATTCCATACAGTAAGATTAATATTCTTTGAGAAATAAAAACGATTGCGTTTTTGAAAAAAAGAAATACTACATGTATTATGTGAATAATCATATATTTTGCTGAAAATCTCTCTGATTGTAAACAAATTAAATTATGTACAAATAAAGTGATATTTAAAAAATTATAAATGACTTAATTTAGTCTAATTTTAAAGAGAAAAACTTTCATGAAGTTTTTTTTGCAAGTTAGAAAACCCATATAAATGCCATTTTTTGTCTAAATGTGCAGACAGAAATTTCGAATGACCCGACAAAATATAGCTAGTGATCCAAATCAAGTAGATTTTCGGTTAGCACTTTGTATACAGTGATCTAGTGTTAATTCAGTGAACGACTGTTGGTTTTGCATCGATGATCGTTGGTTTTGCATCGGAGCCAGTTGATTTTGCAAACGAGTCTGTTGGTTTTGTATTTCAGTATGTTTTTAAATTAGTTGTTAGTTTTCCATTATCGTCTTTTTTACCCTTTTCGCTGCACATAGTATATTAAGACATTATCTGAAAAAAGAATTCCACTATAACAGACAATGTGTTCATAAATAAGTTTTCTATTAAGATAATATTGGCTTTGTTTTAAAAAATACAGCAAATGGTGAATAAATAACCTTTCTCCATTATCAAACATCACTTAGCAATTGCTTTAGGTTTAAGTTATCAATGATTAAAGTACATAAAAAAGTTTTTAGCCGTCAATTCATATCAATTATATTTATGCATTTAATCATAGGTTTATCTTAACGTTTTTACCACAGTAACTTAATTCTGTAAATTCTTGGATCCACGCCTTGCATGGGTGTTGTGTTGTTTGTAAAATCCTGTGCACTGACAACCGTTATACATGTAACATGACTCAGGTGACTCAAAATATCCCTTTAAATTGTAGGACAACCGGATTATATACTGGGGGTAGATAGCGCTTTGCAGCCACAGTTTGCAATTTGGTCAGAAAATACATATTTTGCTCTGAAACCCAGTCAAAAGATGTATAATTTAATTATTATTTAGCTCTTTGGTCCAAAGTCTTCTCATCCCAATATAAACATGTTCAATTTCATGACATCTAAGGTAGGATTCTTCTCTGGTTTCTGACTACATGAAATATTCAAGGTATATTTGCTTATATGTCTTATATATTTAAATGAAAGAAATTTTAAAGACCATTTTTTTTTCTTTCCTCGTCACAATTGTACAAATTTAAATAGAAATGGTAAACTGCGTTCGAAAACTAACGGGGACTATATATTTTTGGCGGAATGTTTGCGTATGAAAATATCTTCTCTTCAAAATTATTATAGAACAATGAATTTAGTTATTATTACAAAATGAAAGACTTGAAGAAATTTTCAAATGTAACTTAAATTAATACTAAGAAACTAAAGTTTTAAAATACATCAAATAAATAAGATTTTTCGCACAAACTAGAACTACGTTGGCTTTTAAATGCTTCGAATCCAAGTACAGATTTGAGCCAAAAAATTGTAAAAAGTGTAATTTCTCTCTTAGTAAACGGTCAAAACTTTTTGTTTTTGTATCATTTTGTATCTTTATGTGACAACTTTACTACCGTATATGTGAAAATGAGAAATATTTAAATATAAGAAACAAATAAAAATAACTAATAAATCTTAAAAATTTAAAAAAAATAGAGAAAATTCGGATCAGCCAAAATCCATTTTTTGCTAAACTAATTTTGTCAATTTGGTAATATCATCTAATACATGTAGGCCCTACACAGTAGTATCTTTTTATGCAAAAAGAAAAAAAATCAATCTTTTGAAAAACAAGTAGGGATCGCTTGATTGGAAACAGTATTTTTTATTCTTAATGTCCAGGGAAAAGGTAATGACATTGAACTGACCTTGCCTCTAATATTTAACGGTTAATCTCATTGATACCATCACTTAGTGATTTTTTTCTTTTGATTCCATGAAAATTTAATTAATTTTTAAATGCAAGAAATGTGAGAAGAATCCTACCCTAAATCTCTGTGTTTCAATATCATAGGTAACCAATATATACACGAATTGACCAGCTCAGGATACACTGTACTGAGGATAGACATGATGACTGAGGACTTAGAATGGAACCATGTTGAATACAATTTCACAGTAGTGGACAGCTCAACTAAGTATCAACTTCACATAGTTTGTCGGGATTCTTGCGATTATGGTATTTGATCTGTTGAACTTTCATGACACTTTATGATATATATTTTATACAGAATTTCTATACTGCATATCAATTTATCACGTTCAATTTCAAGAACCATTGAAATATGCACGTATATACATCATGTGTTTGTTTTATATTGATGCAAGACAGTTGAATAATGAAATTTAATTAAGTATCTGTCAACTAACGGAGAATGCATGATCAGCTAAAAAAGATTTAATTGCATTCACTAAAAATACTCTATTTCCATACGCTTTATAGACAGTCTGTGGTTGAGTGATACTGCTCTGTTTTGTACATTTGACGAGGACAATGACAACTGGAAACAAAGAGACTGCGCTGTGGACCACAGGGGAGGGTGGTGGTACTCATGGGATGCATACTGTACTGAGGGGAATCTAAATGGAATGTACCCAGATAACCTTCCTAATGAAAAACATGGAATCTTCTTTTTCAACTGGCGTGACTGGAGACCCATGTGATATATCCGAATGATGATTCGTCAACCTTGAACCAATTTTTTTTTATGCCGAGTAATTTTGCTAGAAACTTGATTATTTTGGGTGTGATAAAAATAATTTAATTTCTTAATTTCAGTTCAAGTATTGTTCAATCTTAATGGTACCATTGATGCAAAATGTAAAACCTGAGGTTTTGATATTTTGCGTTGTTACATTTTTACGTTGAGATCAACGCATGCAATAGCGCAAAATCTCATAACTCATTTTTGGATTATACCATATTCCGTTAAAACTTACTTGTAAAATCATGTTTTCATGTCCAACGCAGAATGAATAATGTGAAAAGGTCAAAATTTGATATCCCAAAATGTATATACAATTTTTTTTCGTGAGAATTTACGCATGTTTTTTTACATTTAGCGTCAAAGTTGGGATGGAATATGGTTAATCATCTCTACAATCTTATCTCACAAACCGCGAGTGCATATATAAAAATAAAGTTTTCTTTATGTAAATTTGGCTTATCATAAGTATTCATAAATTACCTATTACGTTTAATATTTATCACAAGGCAAAGATTATTGAACACAATTTCACTTTTCTTTGTTGCTTAAAAATGATAAATTTTAAGTAGTGCTTTGTTTTAGTTTTCGTTTCGAATCTTTATTTTAGGACTTGACTTCATATATTTTGCTTTCTGCAAAAGTCACTTACCTGATAAAACTAGAATATTCAAAGGAAAGCTTGTATTGTCTGCTTTGTACCTTCATTAAATATCTAAACGAATCCAGGATGGTTACTGTCTAATTTACTATTAGTGTGAAAGTTCATGCATTTTGTCTGCAAAGAAATTTTGACACTTACCTACTTTCAAATACAATGACTAAAAAGTGTGGAATGGATGGGAGATTTGAACATGACCATGAAGAGGGGAAACAGGTATTATGCTTGTATGTTGCAATATAGATCAATTTTTACATGCATAAGCGGCTGGTTATCGAAAAAGAAAATTTAACGGCAATGTTTACTATTAAATGTAGCGGTAATTTAACCCTTTTTTGAAGCGGTAATTATAATTATGTAGCGGTTATGAAAATTTTGATGATACGCACCCCTTTTTACTACGGGCATAAAACAAAGTGCATTACCAAAGTATTTTTGTAAGCATTTAAACACTATGAAATTCAATGAAGAACATTTTACAATTGCGTTCTGATATTTTATACAGTTTATAAGTTTGCATTTAAGGGAAATGTTGATGACACTGTTATAAGAGCTAAAGTCTGGATTCGGAGTGACCTTATGTATTTTCCTATTATTAGTAATCCTAAAGAAGCCTTTACCTACCTGCAACATTTTTCTCTCTTTTCTATCAAAAAGTTCTCATCAAATAATGCATTGAAAAATGAAAACACAAAATCAAGTATAATTAAATCAATGGTGCCAACCTTACTTTTAGAATCATTCTTAATTTGTCACTGTCGTGTCAGTAAAATTACTAGAAAATGTAATGTTTCAATTCACTTCGATAAAAAAATATTTTGAGCAAGATTTTTTTTTCAGCTTTGGTGAAAGTATAAAAATATCAATAAGGATACAATGTTACAATATTCATTATAAACCAAAAAACACCATCTAAGTTAGCATTGATTTTTTTTAAAATCACAATGGACAAGCCGGGCTTATCCCATTGATCTTCCTTACTTAAAAGAGAAGTCGAATTCCCCTGTTATTAATCTCACAATAAATGTCTTACAAACATTCTTTTTTCAAAGCAGAAGATAATTGCCAAACCTATTATCATTATTCGCCAGTTTAAAAAATCCCCGTGATATTTGCATATATGCACTAGACTGCAACAATCATTAGACACTAGCGGATAGGACAAAGTGTTCAAAGCAATTATTATTCGTAAGTGTAAAAAGTAATGGTGATATTTGTATATATATGTACTAGACTGCAAATATCATTAGACACTGTTTTACAGGACAAAGTGTTGCAAATATTTGCAAAGGGCGTCTACATCTATTTTCTATGAGAGCTAAATATGGAAACGGAAATAATGATCAAAATATGTAATTTTTTCAGTAAAGTCTAAAACATTAATTAGAATCTCTATGTAAGAGGTATTTGATTTTCCAGATATATATATTCGACATCTCAAAGAGAGGTTCAGTTCTTAATCAGAATTTGTCTCAGGTTTCTTGTGGAATTATTTCTCTGAACAATGCTTATGTATGTGTTGATATTAATTTTAAAATTTTCTCCATTATCTTTAAAACAAATTAATGAACACAAATTCAGATATGTAGAATCGTCAATAAAAATTCAGCATTCTTACGTTTATCGCGAATTTCGCCTGTCAAGAAAATGGACTCCCATATTATGGGATGGATCAGAATGCATTATAACAGGAAATTGTAAAGGGATTGAAATTTGCGATGGTATTCTTTGCCGTCTCTGGAATGGTACTTTTTTCCGGCATACACCTGTCGACGCCTCTCCTGACAAATGTCATCGGTATTGTAAGGTAATTCTATTACAACTGTCTACTTATTCCAATTTATCTGATGATTTAAAATTTTCCTAAAGTAGGCATATGTTGAAATATTCTCCTGTTTTTTTGGTGTGTTAGTTACCTTTGGAGACATGGAACGAAAATTAGACTCAACAATTTACGACGGTGACTCATTATGGTAGGTACTAGCACATTACTGATAATTTCATTTCAACTGTTTGATAATGTTTACAGCCCGATTAAAGGATAATAAAGTGAATGTTTATCAAAAATCTTCATAAAGTTCAAACACACCATGTGTTAATTTTTCAGCAACAACAGAAATTGAATCTACATCCAGCGTTGCCCTATCAACCACAATACTAACTGATACAAAAAGCAACGGCATCTCTTCATCCAATACACCGACAGACATTGCAACTAGCAGTTTGCCTTCATCCAATACTATGACAGACCTGACAACTAGCAGTTTGCCTTCATCCAATACTATGACAGACCTGAAAACTAGCAGTTTGCCTTCATCCAATACTATGACAGACCTGAAAACTAGCAGTTTGCCTTCATCCAGTACTATGACAGACATGACAACAACGATCGGTATCTCTACAACACTAACGCTATCGAAATCGACAACCACTATCACAGGTAATGTAAATACATTAGATTAACTTTATATATAATTCCTCAGATTATAATTATCATTCAGTTTTATATTAAATCTGTTTTACTAGTATAGAGTTTAATTTGAAACATAGAATGTTTATTTTTCTTCAAAAAGTATAGAAAAGAATCGTATTCATTTATTCAAAATGTCATTTATTTCAAATTTACGTAAGATCTTATTCGATATGTATCTAAAATGATTCATCATTTTAAAACAGTACCTGTAAAACTATCATTGTTCTTCCTAATGATCATTAACCGTCACGATAACTTATTCGGTAAAGCACCTGTTTGTAATGGGTAGACCGTACGTTCAAATCACTATACTAAAAAGATACACGTAACAACTCTTCCTTCGATAGACGCTCGGCATTTTGAAATGAAAGTTGCTGGTTTTTCGGATGAGACCTTAAAACCTGAGATTCTTTATCATGCAAATGCCTAACTTGACACGTCACGTTATATACGTTGGCACGAATCCATTTTTATAAGAAGGAATGGTAATTAACAATAAACTCACATGACTAAAACATATGACATGACTTACCTGGTAATATGTCTTTAGCACTAATAAGTTCAAGTGAGTTTTTTATGCGACATAAAAATCCTATTTATCAGTTGTTAATTAACAATAAGAATAAGAATTGAACTTATTTATGAGATAACAGGTTACACTTTTCATTCCAGAGAATCCAACTGAAACATGTGTGACACAGCGCCAGTTTCAAGATGGAAAGAATGTAGATATCCCTTGTTTTAATGACACTTACCTCTGGATTGTAAGTTATTTTGGAAGTCATGTGCAGGCATTTATAAATGTAACAGATCTACGAATTGATTTTTTGGGGGGTGGGGGGAACTGGGTGGTATGATAGAGACGGGGTCAGAATGTCTTACTGAGTGAAAAAATCTCGTGCACAAAAACAGATGCAGTACACTTTCCACGTGATAATTGAACGTAAAAATGAAACTTTAAAGAAAGAAAAATTTGAACTTTGCTTAGAGGTAATATAATCGATGATGCTACACGACGATTAGATTTTGCTCCATACATGTCGTCACGGCGTGAGAAGTTTAACCAACACTGGGGATTAGAATTTCAACAAGGGCTTTGGATACTTTCGTACTAGATATTCTGGTTTATTAAAAAAAATGAGAAAATTTGTGGGGAAAGGGCTGCTTCGAGGGGTAATGTAGTTACAGCTATATGTACCTGATTCGAGTCATTTAGCAATAAGCCAGGGATAAGATTATTTTATTTTTCAAATTAAAGTCAAAATCCAAGGTAAAGTAAGGTTTGTCGTACTTTTCGAGATTAATTTTTCACTCATTCAGATAGAGACGTCACCATATACAGTTGAGGGTCATTCTCCAATGGCAAAACAGATTATAGGGTCTTAAAATTCATTGGGTGAAAATTTTTTCAAAGTGCGTTAAATTTGTGACCAAATTAACGCACTTTGAACAAATAAAATTTCTTTTCAAAGTGCATTAATATTGACCATATTAATGCACTTTGAAAAATGTGCACGGCTTGGTCAATATTCTTGCAAATCTTAGGTATGATGAATAATTGAACTTGTTTGATAACTCTTTGGTGATGAGGTCACTTCAGGATGTGAAAGTGGGTGATTTTGATTTTTCATACTTTGAAAATTCTTTCTCTCTTAAATGTTTTAATGTACTTAATTTTTTTCTGTTTACATGCATTTTATGTAAACATTTTATGCAAATACTTGAATTTGTGTGTAATATTGGCATTGAAAATTGGGGCTTACCTTTGAGGGGGCTGGGTATATAAGAAATAAAGAGTTGGGCTGAGAGACCTTCTACTCGCCATTTCCTTGTTCTCAATGATGTTAAATGAGTACATGTAAGTTAAAGTTTTTCGTAAGTTATAATTATTACAGATTGATTCTCTTAATTACTAAAATCTAAGAGTCTATATTTTTTGTTTTATGGACATTTTTTTAAAGTGCGTTAAATGTCCCCATGGTAAAAAAAAATGTTTATGTACACTCTTAACGCACTTTGAAAAAAATTTTCAAAATGCGTCAAGTGTGTCCCAAATTTAACGCTTTTTGAAAAAAAAATTCAAAGTGCGTTGATTATATCCCAATTTTAACGAACTTTGTTTTGTTTTTTCAATGTGCGTAATTTTTTCAAAGTGCGTTGCCACATAGGGTCAAATATATCTTAGGTTTTAGATAGATATTAAGCATGGATAAAGGAACTTATGGTTCTAAAGCAACTGTTAGCAAATTAATATGTAATGGTGACGCACCAGCCTGTATGAAATGTGTAACATGAAGATAATAAACTCTGCATCATCAGCAAATTAAATAATACATTTAATTTGAGTATGAACTGATTTAATTTGATTATGAGCTGATCTTTCTGTATCTTGAATAAAATAAAAAATGCCATTGTCTGCGAACTTTTCAAATAGCTCTCTTAAGTATAGATATTTCATAAAATTCCGTAAGTGGTTCATATTGAAAAATAAACTGAACAAGGAAAGAATTGACATTGAACCATTAAAGAGTATATGTATGTGATTTGTCTAATTTTTTTACACTTGATATGAAATATACTGTATAGTTTAAAAATGATTTGATTGATCGACTGACATTGTTTAACACCAGGTCAGCAATATTTCGGTATGTATGTCGGTGGAATAGTTTAAAAATTAAATTTTGTTAAATTTAATGCGAAAAATACTTTTTCCTATAAATTTCATTGAGTTTAATATGAGATTTATAAGAAAAAAGTATTTTTTGCATAATTAAGATACCAGTTGTCGTTTTCCTTCTACTAGTGATTGAGCGTACATGTATATATTTTTATTCATTCCATGTTTCAGGTTATTCAAAGGAGAATAGATTGATCAGTTGATTTTTATAGAAATTGGACTGAATACGCAAATGGATTCGGATCTGTTAATTCTGAAATCTGGTTAGGTAGGTTTATAGCTGCGTATCCTTTAAATTCTGAAATCTGGTCGGGTAAGTTTATATCTGTGTATGCTTTGAATTTTCAAACCTGTTTATGTAAATTTATAGCTGTGTATCCTTTAAATTCTGAAATCTATTTGGGCGAGAATTCCTGCAGATCCGTTAAATTCTGAAATCTGGTTGCTGATTAAAATTACCTGATAATGCGTGAACTCTTAAAGCTGATAAGGTGAGTTAATAACTTCCGTAAACTCTGATTTATGTGAGCTTAAAACTACGGATGTCCTCACTCTGAAATCTTGTTAGGTGATAGGTGTCATTTCCTTTGATTTTAATTTCCCTGGGCTTCTGACAAGAAGAGGGGGTAGGGATAACGTATTTAAATTCTTTTTTTCTTCAAAATGCGTGTATTTCTGAATGATTTTCAGAAACATTCTTTTATATCAGTTTTTCAATCGCAGGCATAGATTTTTTTTCAATCATTTTTTTCAAAATCCTTTTTAAATGTAACTAAATAAACTTTTAATTTTTTTCTGAATTAAAACATTTGAAAAAGACAAATTTATTAAATTCTTTACACATTTTTTCTTATTTTTTTTTTTTGGTTCAAAGTATACTAAAAGGAAAAACTGAAGGAAAAAGAAACGCAGGGTAACATTGTATGCGATATTTTTTTGACCACATGACCAAAAAGAAGAGGGTACAGTTTGAGCTTTATTGTGCCCTAAAAATTCAATGTTCTTAAAAAGTTATAAAATTGGCTTTAACAATAGTTGAGAAGATGAATATGATAAATCATTAAAGAATATGGCATAAAGAAGGGCCTTTCTGGAAATATGACATCATTAATTTGGTATATTTCTAAGTTTAATGCATTAAAGCCCCAAAATGACTCATTTCTGTGCTAATTTTGCTTTAGAAAATTGTGTCTGCCACCGTCGCCCGCTTTAATTTTTGGATATATTATGTAAAATGCTATGAAAAATCACATATCTCAAAATCTCTCTGGGCGACGGTGGCAGAGTATGTTTTCTGAAAGAAAATTCCACTGAAAATTGATGTCTTCTGCAACTTCTTAAGTAAATGCGGGAAAATGCACAAGTTAATGACGTCACAATTAACATTTAGGAGGTCATATGAGAAAAACGATTTGTGTATTCTTACTGCAGGGAATTCTTATGATTCAGAAAGAATGAATTTTTATTTTTTATATCACTTTCATATTTTTGAAAAATATAGGGCTTAATTTGTATTGAAACCGTACCTTCTTCTTACGAAAAACTGGTCAGATGAGAATCTTTGTTACTATACACTAAAATCAGTGTTCAGAATTACTCAAACATGACATGCATGACGTCACGTAGGGAACTCACTTAAAAGCCAAAAATATCCTCAAATTGATAATGACAAGTTTGTTTACGATCTTCTTGTACCATTTAATGCACTTGAGGTATACACATTTAGGCCTTCCAACCAACTTTTTCAAGTTGCACATATGGCAAAAACCATTTGATACATAGATCTGTAGGTGCATGAAATTCTCAATTATTAAAATGATTATTAATAATTGATTAGTACGGTGTTGTGTTTTAAAGACAGATAACTCAAGAGTAAAAGCATCCAACAAAGTGCTGAATTATGAGTAATCGTTTCTAGATATGACACATATCCTGCTCCATTTGTTATTGTTTTGTACACAAATGGTTTCTTTATATTCTTCGGTACCCAAAAGGATTGACCAAAAACAATAAGAATGTCTTCATGCTAATTGAAATTAATAGAATCATCAATTAGTTATGTTATTCTTTTTACTGAGCACGAAGAAGATCGATCAAAAAGAAAAAATTAATCAGGTCGAAATTAAGAATGGGGTAGCTTTCATTTAATATTTTTATTTAAAATTTCATTTATTTACTATTGAGCAGTGTAGGTGCCTACATGATAAATAAGTTAAACATTTGTGCCAAATTTTAAAACCATTGGGTTCCGCTGACATTAAAGAAACAGTTGGAAAATGCTGAAACTTTACATACTTAAAAAAAACAGTTCTTGCACCCGCTGTAAACAAGTTTTGGTAATGTGTTATCGTTCTTTTCATCGAAACATAGCGGCAGTTGAAAGACCTTCAATTTTTTCAGTATTTATACAAGAAATATGCATTTCGTGCAATTTTGATACAGTAGAAGTAAGTTCCATTGAGTCTGACTTTTTTGTTGCCTAAGTAAGGATAAGGCAACAATAGGTTGCTGTGCAGATTTTTTTCCCATAGAACGTCCATAGAACATCATAGAGGGCGTTGAATGGCTTCCAATCAACGTTGACGATGACGTTGACGCGCAACAGAGCTACGTCAAGATCGTGTTATTCACCCTGCCATTTGTGTAATCACCACCTTACTATCACAAAACTGCTATTAATAGAGTAGAATATCATATTCCTAACATTCACCGTAAAACTGGCAGAATCCGATTGCTCGGCTAGGATTTTTGAACTGGCCAACTTTATGTTGGTTGTCATCTCATTGGCGCATGCGCACCGTTTCCTTTATTTTTTTTCGGTGTATTTACCCCCGGTCCCATGAAGCTTGGGTTTGTTGAGATTTTCTCGCGAACAATCACATTTACCCACTCGACTGGTCTCCTTAAAGTTCATTCTTTTTCTCGTTGAACATCCGTGGGACTGAATAGAAGACAGTGTTCAAAATACCCAAACTGGTCTCTCCCAAATAAAGTTTGCCTTGTTGAAATGGTTAAATGATAATGCTATTTTAAGGATAAACAAACTGATGAACTCCATGCAAAGGAGAATTAAAGATTGGCAGATGCGCGAAGTAGTCATTGAAGACACTATATTTCAATTTTCACTTTTGGAGGGTATCATTATAGTAGTTTCAAAAAATCATTAATTCTGAGATTAAATCCAAAAGGATTTTGGTTACATTTTCATAAAAAATTATTTTAAACAATAGATAGGAAAACTAGAAGGATAAAATAAAATTATTTCACCTTAAGGACAGATGATACAAACAATTTTTTTCTTTGAAAAAGATTTAATATCATGTCACAAGTTAAGAAAAGTGGGTGGTTCTTAGAATATTTTCTCCTAAGAACTTGAATATGAAAAAGACTTGGAAAATATTAGTAATATTTCAATGAAAAAACAAATATAGAAAAATCACATTCAGTAAAGGTTTACAGGTGAAAGCAAATTTCAGAATATGTTAACATGGTGCTAAAAGTGTAATATAAACTTAAGAAAAATATACCAAGTCTGGTGAATTTTATTAGGAAAAGCTAAATTATAAAAATCAGCCTATGTGATATTGCTAATTTTTTGTCATTTTGATCTTCCTCTTAAAATTCACCTGGCGTGGTGAACCACAGGAAAATGTGTATACATAAAAACAGTTTAACTATATAACCGAAGAAAGGCAACACTTTAATGAATATTTAGCTTATTATATGTACATATAAAAGTGTTATAACTGGTGCAATTCAATTGATTAAGATCAATTTTAATTTAACAGAGGAAAGTATCTCATGGCAGTTCATATAGTTCGCAGCAAATACTCTTAAAGGCGCCATGCATTCTAATTCATACACTAAGACTTGGATGTTTTCTTTTACACAAATATGTAAGGTGTTAAACTTCAAACGTGTATAAAAATTGTAAAGGATTTTAAACATTTATATAATTGTTACCTTTTTCTTTCTCAGTAGAAGTAACCATCTTTTTATTTATATGAAACGATGAAATTTGCCTACTATGTTTTGTTACACTTTTAAAAAAATTACACTTATAAAAGTCTTAATATTTCCAGTGTTGAAATAAGGGTATAAAAATCGAAGTTTGTCGATGAGATATTTGATAGGGCGGGATCAGCTAAATCTCTTTGCATTTGGGTTCGACAGAGACGGAAATTAATTCACTGCTAATAAAGAAAATTTAAGACAGAACAACAAAAATTTACAGTTATCCTTGGTATCCTTGGTCATAAATATTCATATTTTCTAAACATTAAAATATAGTGTATATATTGTAAAGAGACGTTAGTTAACATTTATTGCCTGTTGGCAAAATGCGTTTTGTCGACCCCTCCGACCTACATTGTAACTGTTTGGTTGTAACTGTTAACTGTCGAATCCGACACTTCGTATGTGTTGCCTCGAACTCAGTCATTAAATTTATGTATAAGAATGCCCGAGAGAAAGAAATCTGTCTCTATCACGTAGATGTTCCTTCGAAGAAGAGTGTGAGTACTAATAATTCCTTTATATGTATACTGTGAAATCAATGTTCGTGGGAGTTAATTTACGTTGATTTCGAGGTATGAAAAGACCCACAAATTCATGTCCACTACGAAATAAAGATTGTTACATTAATTACTACTCAACAATTCTTCATCCAAAAAAAATCAAATCCCCACGAAACAAGAGTTTTTCCTCAAATCACGAAAATATGTGATTTTAAAGTATTTGTTTGATGTATTTGTTAGAGTTACTTTTGTAGATGTTTGTTTCAAATCGCTTGACGTTTGTGGATTTCCTGCGTATCGTTAGACATCAATATTCCTACTTTTTTTTCTAAATTAAAATGTGTTTTTATCATTGGATTCTACTGACAGCAAAGATACATTTTGAAAACGCTAAAAATTGACTTGCGTATAAACAGTTAGATATCTCGGACCTGTACTAAACAGGTTTCGGCAATGAGTTATCGTTCATAACATCGAACCCTAGCGGCAGTTGAAATTCCCACTAAGTGTTTGGAGATTAAAAAATCAATATGATTGATCGATTGATTGTAAATTAATCAACGTCTCTCTCAAGTACTTTTTCACTCATAACGCCACCAATTGCCAGTGGAAAGCTACAAATTTTGTCCAATACTCGGCACTCATAATTGGGGCCATTGAGCAGGGAGGGGTTTTTGTTTCGTGCCAGAACCTACTTCGACATGGAACTTCGGTTTATGCGAAAGACCGGTCTCCACGTCTTACAATGGACCCGGGGCTCGAATCCGCTACGCAAGGATTCACTCCTTACTTCTTGACTCTAGAGCAGACGCTATAACCACTGACCACGCAGTCGACTAAAATGTCTATATGAACATCTATATAAATTGGCAATAATGTGTTTTAAATAACAAATATTAAACTAGTTCAGAGATTTATTTAAATGTAAAACTTATTGCAGTCATATATTTTTGTGTATGATTAAAAGTGTTATAATGTGTACTAAAATTCAGCCGTTAAAATTCGATCCATTATTCTTAGAAGCGGCCATATCAAATGCAAATCATGCCCTACAACATTATAGGTAACCAGTATATACATGAACTATCCAGTTTTGGATACTCCATCCTGAGAGTGGATTTGATGGATCAAACCATGGACTGGAGATGTGTGGAATACAATTTCTCAGTAGAGAATAGTGCATTTAAGTATAGACTTAACATAACATGCAGGGAAGGGTGTGATATTGGTAATTATATTCTTTATGAATTATTCTAGTCATTCTTGATCGTTTGAAAATAGTCTTTTATTCATTTGTTTTCTTTTCTGAATCAGATCTGTTAAAATTACACATACATATATGTATCTTTTTACAATATACAAGTACTCTTTAGTTCGACAATTGCAAAATGTCGAAAAGTGTTTCCTTTTAAGAAAACCCTTTGCAGATACAATAAATTCTAAAATATGGTTTGATAAAATTATTTACATGTAAGTAATTTTAAAATGTTTTATAGACAGCCTGTGGACTGGTCTTTTTTCTACTTACGACGAAGATAATGATAACTGGGCTCAAAGAGATTGTGCAGAGGACTTCAGTGGCGGATGGTGGTACTCAGCGGACGCATACTGTACGGAAGGAAATCTTAATGGAATGTACACCACTGATGGAAGCAAAAAGAATGAAAAGCGCGGAATCTTCTTTTTTCATTGGCATATGTATGAACCGCTAACATTCGCCAGAATGATGGTTCGACAACCCTGAATGTTTGAGCAGATAGTTCTTACAATTCAAGTGATCCTTGTCATAAATTGTAGAATTGAAAATCCATATTAGAACAATTTAATCTATATACTTATTAATATTTTACGAATTACGGATTAAGTATTGTCATTAAAAATTGTTTTAAAAAATCGTACATTTCTGTTTTATGGAGACATTTTTCCATGGATTTAATAAAAAAAAACTTGAATTATCCAAAGGGCTTCAGGACAATCTGATGGATTTTTAACCTGGCATTGCTGGAAGCAAAGTCCTGGCTATATACATCATGCTCGACAGCCTTACTATAAATAGCACAGTGTAGAAAAGTAAACGAAAAGCCAAAGAGCGTAAAAATTAAGCAGACGCTTCCGATAAACAAAATAGTTCCATTGCGGGACGATGCTTAAACAAATATTTTTAACATCTCAATCTTTGGAAATGTTAATGCTCAATTATATTTTTGCTTGAACATTAAATTTAGAAGAGGAATTAGATATTTCCTTTATTAGGGTAATTGTGATATAACAATTTGTGCACATACGCTGTTGAATGCATATTGTAAGCGAATAGCGCGGGCTTTTCGACACGTTGAAATTGTTGAAGAATTTCCCTTCCTCGATATTATGTTAGTGGTTATTCTCTTTTTTGATTCTTAACAAATTTATTGTTTTCTGAACTGGAATTTTAAGAATTAATATGAATGCGTTATGCCTGAAGTCGCTCGACAAAGTACATGTATCGGTGTTTCTACAAGTAGTTTGCGATAAAGTATTGTTTGCTTGAAACTAAAAGAATGTCTCCAAAATATTGCATTATTTTTACTATTCCAAGACTGTTTTTTTAATTAAATTAATTATAATAAATAAGAAAAATATTCTCATTGAATAGAAAATATGCGATAATTCCTTGGAAATATAATTTATTAAATTTTAGAATAATAACATATCTGCACATGCATGTTATATTATTACATGGTATTCTGAAATTATTTCTTACCATGTAAATTATATCTTATAACTGAGGTGTCTTTTTTAAAAAGCTAAAACGTTAAAAAAGAGCAGCGAATATTATTTTGTCCTTTCTAATACAGACAGTAAATAATTTCGAACAAAAATCCTAATTATAATGATTGTTAATATTTTGTGTAGAGGTGATTTAAATGAAGAATATTTTCAGAAATAGCTATTTAGCCTTTGCTTCGAAACTTTAAAAATTAGATATTTATCAATTTCATACAGGTGGTTTCCCAGAGGACAAGAAATGAATATTTTTACTGATAAATACAGGCGTGTAGTATCGTTTTAAAGGGAAAAAAGGAAAATTGTCAAAATTCGAGAATCCTATTCCTTGGGAACTTACGATCACATTGCGATTTTAATCAATACATTGCCAAATTACCGTAATTTTGATATGCTACACCATAATGAAGAGACAATCTAATTAAAATCAGACCATCCATTTTGTTATTTGTAAATCCGTCGCTCATGACAAATACCCGGTAAATTAATGAAGAGCAAAATGAAAAGTTTAATTTAGTTTTTGATTGCAAAGAGTTTATCAATTTTTAAATGTACATTTTCCATCATAGTGACATTCCTAACCACCCTAATACTATCATCTTCGCTAGCCAAGGGTTTTCGGTCGGCCCCGCTCCCCATAAGCCCTTGGCCGATATGCACAGTCTGTAAAACGTCAAACAGTGGAGAGTTATTATAGCCGTCCATGGACCAATGAAAATACTGCGAATTAAACTCTAAATTCATGTTTGTTTGGATTGAAGACTGCTACAAAAACATCGTTTTACACATATGGTATAAAAAAAATCTAAGTCCTGAATCTCTGGACGCCCTTGACCATAAAACATTGTATTCAAGGCTTCCAACATGCTGAAATATGCGCTTTATCTCTACCTTCCCCTCACCCAGCGTGACCATCTTGCTTGGGCGACATTACCGGAATCCCTTGATTTTGAAGCTACCAGGTATTATGCTGGAAAAAAGAGACATACACAAGTTTTTTTTGATTTTTTTATGCATTGCAAAATGTAATGTACAAGGACACAAAATCGCATTATTTAACTTAGACTACATGTTTTACAAATATCCAAAATCTGTAAATAAATCACACACTTTTTGACAGCCCTGCTATAGAATAATAGAAGAGTAAGGAGTTAAAAAAGGTCGCATAACTTAATAGTTTCCTAAATTTTCGTTCTTTTTATATTCTTTAATTGTCAGCAACATCAATATCATTATTTTGCAAGAAAGAAAACTTTTTGAAATATGACTGCGACTATAGAGTCAGCTTCTAATCTAAAAAATACATATGATTACAATTAACAAAGGGCAAGAGTTCTAGGTATTACCAAGTAAATCATTATAAGAGACACAAATAATATAAAAATGATTTTTCTATTAATTAAATGCAGAAAAATCTTTGGTAAGTTTGTATGTGTGAGTACGTGTATTTACAGCCTAAAACTATAATGAAACAAAATGATATTGAATAGACTGAAGAATTCTTACACTGGAAGATTTAATATTCAAATTTGATTTGATATCTAAATTAATAGTAAACTTAACAACCTTTCAAACTAATTTTACAAATACGAGTAGAGTTATTCCTCTTTTTATATTACATAGTGTGATATCTAAATATCATACAAATAATTAAACTCTGATTGTTACGAACAATTTGATTGGAAAAATTATTCAATAATTTGTGCTGTCTACCTCCTAATAATTCAATACATGTGACGTTACATTTAATACCTGTTAGAGGCCTTTTAAACAAAAAAATTACTCTTATATTACTCTTTAACTTATTTTGATTGTTTGTTTGTTTGTTTGTTTAACGTTTCTCTCGAGAATCTTTCACCCATACATGTAGAGACTCCACCACTTTCTGGCGGAGAGCTGTAAATTTTGTCCTACTCGGCACTCAGGGCCATTGAGGGATCTTTTTCGTGCTAGCACCTACTGCGACCTGGATTTATACATGTACGGTCTCGTCAGAGGTACTGGTCTCCAAGTCCCACAGTAGATTCGAACCCGTGACGTAAGGTTCAGCTCCTTACACGGCAAGTCTACAAAAACAAAATTAAGAGTTTTTAGCAGTGTAAGATAAAATTAAAATCTAAAAATATTTCCCGCTCCTTTTTCTTAAATTCCAACTAGACAGGTCTTTTTAAAGTATTTGCTGAAAGTTTTGGAGAAAATTTAAAGAGGAAAATAGTCCAAGTATAAAGGGACAGAAAGAAGAAAAACAGAGACATAACAAAGAGTGAACCTATACCCTTAGTGAACAATGTAAATAAAGTGTTTCATTTTTGCGTAAAACTAGAAATGGAGATGATAACGCAAAGTGATAGATCTGGAAAATCTACAAACCATATAAATCTATGAACAGAGCTTAAGACATGGTCCCAGTGATGGGATCAGGGTCTTCAAAGAAGAGAAAACTTTCGGGAAATTTATTACCCTGCCTAAAGTCCTATTTATTGACGAGGTATACGGAAAGCTCTTTTGTCAAATTTTGTATAAATACAGATTGAAGCAAAATGATAATAACAAACCAGGGAATATTTAGATTTTTTTTAAACTAAAAAGTATCCTATATGAAGGGAAAGAAAACCTCGAGTTTTGTCAAACTAATAGTTTTCTTACATACTGTGAAGTAATACTACTAAAATATTTGTCCACGCTGTTTAAATCAATAAATGGGAAACAGTGGTGTCAAATTTGTTTGTAAATGGCAACAACTAATTTATGCAAGTAAAATTGTCCATACGTAAATAGGCTAAATATGGAGAACTAACTGATTAATTCGTGAAAAGGTTTGGATTAATGAATAATTCAGTCTGATAGCAAATATTTTGGGGGAAGTATGAAACACGGTGAAATATTAAAGTTTATTCATTCCCATACATCAAACATTTTAGTTAAAAAAAATTAATCAAATGCCACTTACTAACACAAAAACTGCTATTAATATAGAAGAATATCAGTCATTACATTCACCCAAACCTAAACTGAAAGAAATCGGTTGCGCGATATTGGGTTTTTGGGCTGGTTAAATTCTCACTGGCGCATATGCGTCGTTTCCCTATTTTTTTTTGTCGGTTTGGTTACCCCCCTGGCCCTATGTAGCCAGGGTTTGCCAAGATATTCTCGGAAAAAAATCATATTTACCACCTCAACTTGTCTGATTCAACTCTTTCCTTTTCTTATTGAAGATCTGTGGGACTGAGTTCATGAAAGGGTTCGAAATACCGTAGCTAGCTACTTTCAACTAAGGTACATGTATGCCTTGTTGAAAGGTTTGAATAGCATCCCCATTCGAAGGATAAACACTCTGATGAACTCTATGCAAAAGAGAATCAAAGCTGTGACAGATGCACGATGGAGAAATTGAAGATAATGAGAATTTTCAATTAACACTATGGGGGTATCGTCATTTGAGTTACCCCAAACTTTATGACAAACGAGATGACTAACGTTTCAATTGCCAACTTTTCTGATGCAGCAATATACCTGTATACGGGGTTTGTATCTCTCATTTGATTCGATAAGCAAGAACCTATGAACAATTTTCAAAAGAGGTTTGTTATTGACAATCAAGACTTAGTTGCTGAAACAAGAATATCAACAGTCGCATATAAAGTCATCATTTCGTAAGTTTTATGGCCGATACAATGACCTTGTCAGCAACTACAATTTATCATTAAGTCAAATGCTGACTAATGTTTTTCATACTTTTTATTAGGCCATTATTTACACTCTGTATTGTCGTCGGATTTTTTCCGTTACTTCCCAACCATGAAAAGAGCACACAGCGGTTGTGACCGGTGGGCAAGGGCGGCTCACTCCTCCATGGTACCTGATCCCACCTCTGATGTTTTGAGGTCCCTGTTTGGTCTGCTCCTATTTTGTATGATTAATGGACTTTTGAGCTTGAATAGTATTCGTTATATGCATGTATAAAGCAAAATCAAATGGGTT